CATTTCCACATTTCCATACGCCATGCGAATGCAATACGTACATACTTGTATATCTATGTATGTAGGTCCTCCCAGCGCCCCACCGCCCCAGCGCCCCAGCGCCTCAGCGACCGACCTGCCCCAACAATGTTTGGCAGCCGAAAAAAAAATGTCAATAGGAAGCAAGCAGCACAGCCACTGAGTCGAGTCAGCATTGCATCCGACTTGAATTTCCCAAATTATTCATCTGTTGTTCAAATTTCTCACCTAATTTCCCTTTTATAGCAGGCATTTCCCCAGATCCGTCCGTCGTCCAATAATGATTTATTAATACAGCAAGTTTAACTAATTTAGTAATAATGGACCGCATTTATTTTAGAGGGGACGACCCAAATTAGTAGCACAACTTCCTCACAGAGGGCGCATTTATCAATGTAACTCACTCTTATACTTGAGCAACAGCGACTGCTCCTGTTTTATAGCTGTTATTGGCGATGTTTTAACAGAGGAATTCGGCACTGCTTGGATGTATGGTACCCATAAATAAGTCGGGTAAAATGCACTGCACAGGAAGAATGGGGAAATAACTTGGATACCAAAGCTGCATTTTATAGCCTGAAAATGCAAATGTAACACGAGATGTCCCAGCCACCTATTGGCCAGAATGCACTGAACCCAAATGGCAACAGGGGGCGGAACGTGCCATTATCAAATAGATCTGGCAGCCCTCTGGTGGAAAAAACGATGACGATGATCAACGATTGTTTTAAGGGGATCGATTGAATTTAATGGCATCTAGCTTAACATTGCAACAATAAATCACATATTAACTAATTGAATTGTTTTGATAATTAGCTTACTTAGCTAATTCTTGCCTATAATGGATAACCCAAAAAAAGTTTACAACCGCGCCACCTACCGGTAAAAAGAGAAACGCTCGTCATAGTACGAACTGCAACGCCAATCGCACCCGAAACATAAAAAGCACTGCATGCTCCCGATTTTATTTTTTATTTACGTAGAAAACGTATAACCTTACACACATTTAATTTATGACTGAGCGCATCCCTTGTGTATTTCTTTCCCAACTTCTTGAAACTTTCCATTCCATTCTGTTCTCAACATGGTTTTGTAAAAACCGTGATTAATGGGCAGAAAAAGGTTTAATAGAAGTTTTCATTGAAGATTTTGTAAGGGCTTAGCGACTGTAAATAAAGTAAAGAGGGTTTAGAGAGTGACCCCCCAAATCAATATCGAACAGTATAAGAGCACTTGCGCAGCTGTGTCCTTTGCGAGGGCTATCGTCTTCTCCAGAGGACAAGCATAAACAGCTACGGTTTCTTATCTTTGTTTATCAGCCACAGACACCGGATATAAGACGCAGTCTAAAATTATACTTTTGCGTGTGGAAAACAAAGCGATAATATCGATTAATCATGAAATAAGTTTTTTGTAACAAGCAATTGATTATTACTTTATAAAATGAATTCAAAATTTATTGTTGTTTTAATGTTTAAATAGATAAGAAATTAATGGATACTATTATTATGACACACAATATTACTTGTTTATATTTATTGCTAAATTACTAACTAAATTATTAACTTTTATTCTAGCTTTTATTTTGGCAATACTATTTTTCAAAATGGGTTGTTTTTTAGGTGCGGAAAAATAATATTTGTTTAGGGCACAGTTGCAATTTTCTGTGTAATGTGTAGCATATCATACAGGAGCAGGAAAAATAAAAGTGTGGAATACTTTTCCGCGGCAGAATTTAATATAACTTATTTTACAATTGGATACCTGAACACTAACCAGATGTACATAATTGTCCAATTTGAATTTGAAAAAATTCCAAGGAGTACGGTTATGGCAGAATCACAAATAGGTGGGAGTTGCAGCGATAAGTCCCATAATCGGAATAGTATTTTTCCTTGACACTCCATAGCTTGCAAGCACCTTGTATTTTGAGATTTAGCTATATACGAGTATAATAAAGCAATCTATATTTTTTAATGTATTATCATACATAATAATATATACATATTTAAGTTGTTTGATCAGGTCAAATTTTGTTCAATATATAAGCATTTTGATTCACTGTGCCATTCCATTTGCAAAGTGGCGTCCGCCACAGCCCAAAAGCATACACCACTTTTTTCCACAACACCAAAGCTCCCCCAAACAAGCAAGTGGTTCATGTCATCGCTAAAGCGACGCTACTTGGCGGTCACGTACTGGACGGTGGACCCACTCGGCGTATGAGTAATGCGTCAGAGCCCAAGCAGACTGGCAAACTACGCCAATGCGAGGCATATTGTCTGAGGGAATGCGCAGTCTGATAGCCACTAATCCCGGTACTTGGCGCGTGGCCATTGGCCCCACGGTCATCGAGGGAGTTCATTGGAGAAATTAATACGAGTACGACATATTATTGGCATGAATAACGGCAGTTTCATTCACGATAAGCTGTAATGCCAATTGATTCTGATAAAACGCGCTTCGACGTATGCCCAAGCAAACATTGACGGCACGCTGCTTCCTCAGCGCGGACTTCTTGGGTATTCATTGACCAAGTTGATAACCCTCGAGGCATTTAGACCGGAAGCCACTTGTAAACTAGACTCGAGTTCGTCATGCGGAACAATAACATAGTGGCCTATATCGGATGTGCCAGATATTCTTGTCGGCCCAAAAGCGACATTTTGGGCCTATCATGATTTTAATGGAACGGAACTGTGGACTGTGTTGTATGCGGAAGCAATTTCCGATTTACCATATCCCTGTGGCCTATGAAATGGGGAATCCGTCTATAATATTCGCTCGATCGTAAACTACAAATGATAAAATTGTGCCATAAGCTAAACACAAAGTACAAAGAGATCAATCCGATCTCTGTCAAAGGTACATTTTCAATTTGCTTTAGTTCATCGTCTATTGTCATGATCGCAATCAAAAGACATAATTTGTGCTCATTTCGTGATTAATGCCAACAGCAAGGAAACAGTACTTAAAAAAATAAGGCAGTCGAGTTTTAAATATAATTGTAATAATTCGTAGATCTATTAGAAGTTATCGGGCATGTAATGTAAGTACTATATAAGACTTTGAAAATGCAAATATGAACCATTTTCTAAATTTGTTTATATGTGTATGTATGCGTGTATATAGTACGTACAAACTATATACATATTAATTGTATATAAATTAACAAAAGCTGCTCTAGCGGTTGGACAAATAGAAGGCCTGTTGAAATAACATTAAGGTTGTGCAACTCTTAGGAGCAGATTAAAAGGCTTTCACTAAAATTAGTAGATAAATGGTATCCAGCTCGGACTGCTTACAAGTATTCTTCTACTGCCGGTTCCGATTTCCTATTATAAATAATAGTCCCACATCCATAATTTAACAGTAATTAATATAACATTAATTTTTCGTTAATAGTATATATATATTAGTATAATATATGAGTAATTGACCGAATGAAACATAGTGGAGAATATTTCACATATTGAATAACTTTATTCTCTTCGAAAAAAAAAAACCAAGGAAAGGTTTTTTGATCAAATAAAGTGACATTGCTTCAAAATTGTGTTTAAGGTTCGGCTGAAAATTTTGAAAATTGGATTACGTCTGAAATCAACGTTCCCACTAAAATAGTGCTACCAAAGAGATATTAGTTAAGCTACAGAAAAAGAAAATGTGTTTTATCTAGTTTTACACCCCGGAAATGCACATACTTGTACATATATGTTTTAAGATATATATCAATGTATGAACAATTGGAGATCTATCGTCAGCCAGTGTGAGAAAGGGAACCTCATTTTCCCCGAAGGTTGCTCGCAATACATCTGAACCAATAAGTATCAGTATGCATCGCTGCGAATGGATTAGACATGCTCCAAGTTTTTGGTCCACCTATTCTGTTTTTAGGATTGTAAGCTAATACCTCGATTAGCAAAATATATGATGGTTTTTAACCGTCAGTATGTAAATATTGAATAACTTTGTCATTAGTGAACCGATTGACTTGAGTAGACCAGTGTTGAAAACCTCAGTTCAAGAAATTGTACAGAACCAAATTAAATAAAAATATCTCATACTTGAAAATCGGTTGTTTATTTTCAAAGATATTCAATGTTTACATACCGACATAAAAGATGGCGCACCCTGTATGCACAAATACTTGTATATGCTTCAAAACGGAAATAATTTGTTGCCTTTTCTAATATAAAATTTCAAACGAATAAACCCAAAAGTCCTTAAAAACGTCCACTATAATGAGCTGCAGGATATTCATTTTTTTGCGCAGAGCTGGGTTGAGGGAAGGAAGTGGGCTTGGTGCTGAGCTAGAAATCCTTGTGCTATATCCAATATAATATTGTGCTGCCAAATACACAGATAGTATCTGACGGCTAGCCATTCCCCAATAAAAAACGATTAAAATTTGTCTGTCTTTGTGCTTATTTATTAGCAGAAAATAAAAAAAAATGATGAAAAAAAGTACCTTAAGCTTAATACAAGTAGACCACACAATGGTTTCTCACTACATTTTTACATGCACTTAGGGACTTATACATGGCTTTAAACTAATCAGTGGCATGAATACAATAATTGTTAATTGTTAATTGATCACACTAAGAACTAGTCAAAAAAAGTACTTAACATAAATCACAGTGTACTTAAGCATTTATAAATATATAAATAAATAAATATGTTCTCAGTTGAATGTGTGGCAAGAATGACAAACAACCAAGATTGTTTGTTTGATTGGCATTGAATTGGCAAGTTGGCACTTATGGATAATACTTAGCGCGGTTCAAAGTACGACGTCAATAATAAATATATAAAATAAATAAATAAATAGCAATAAAATACTAAAATACTTAAATTCAAACTGGCTTTTGACGATGTGAGCGTCCTCATCAAATTCTTATGTAGGTGTGATTTGTAGAATTTTTGGCTTAAAGGCGGCATACTGCCATACTGAGGAACTTTCCCGATGCTTCTTAGGGCTAACATTATTTCAGGGCTTCCCCGCTGATGACAATGCTCGAGCTGTCTCCGCTCTCCGCCGATCGGGACGAAGATCCCGCCGCAGATGAGCGCGAGAAAGAAGCCGCCCTCGCTGCCGCTTGCGCCGATTTCTGTTTTCGCTCCATGCTGTGCCTTTGGGACTTGCGTAGGGTGCGACGAAGGGTCTTCCACGTGTTGTCCAAGTACTGGAAGTAGAGCTGCTTTGTGATTTGCAGATCGCGTTCGTCGGCATCCTCGGCGCCCTCGCCATTGGCCAGCGTGTGCAGGTGCAAGCGCTCCAGCATGGTCGCTCTGCTAACCGTCGTCAGTTTGTCCTCATTGGTGTTCGGGTAGCTCGCGTTGATCGTCGTCTCAATGTCGCAGAGGACTCGACGAGCGCTCAGAAGCAGCTCATGCAGCTCCAGGGTGCTCTCGCTGAGGCGCTGCTGGTGCTGTTTGCGGTACTTGTACTGAGAGCGTCCAAGGTATGCGAAGCTGGCCACGAAGGTCTGCATGTTGCGGTACCAAGTCTTTAGTTTCACCTGCGGATGGAAGAAAGGAAATGAAAGGTTAGGCTTTAGCATGCAAATGGCTCAACCAGTTTCCCCCAATTGCTCCCTCTCTCTCCCGCCCTCTGTCCCTCTCTGTTCCTCTCTGTTCCTTTGCACACTTACCGGATTTGTGTTTCGCGTCATGTTGGGCAGGAATTTGTACTCATTCGCCCAGGGCTGGAACTCTTCGTAGGCAATGCGTGCGGTGCGCTGCATAAATTGGTGCTCCTGCTTCACGTTGTTCATCAGGACTTCCAGGTGCTGTGAAGGACAGAGAGAATATAGAGCATGAGCCATTTCTGTTGTGCACTGATTTGTGTTCTCTGCTTACCTTGCGTTTGATTACGCGTCCTTGGCCCGAGGAGGCATTGGCGCCCGCCTTCGGTGCGATCGGCTGATAGACGCCGCCGCATGGATTCTCCCATTCGGGTGCAGTATCAGGATTGGTGAAGTACCGCAAGTTGTGACTGCGTCTGTGACGTAGACGCTGGCGGCGCAGCATGCGCCAAATAGCGCGTACGAATTCGTCGCTGCTGCTGCTGCTGCCGCTGTCGCTGTCGCTGCTGCTGCCAATGCTGCTAATACTGCTGTCCATATCGTAGCTAGCCTGACCGAAGCTTTGCTCCAAGTCATGAAATGGGTTCGCATGCCAGGCGGGCAGCACATCGTCATCGTTGGCAGCCGCACTGTCAATTCCTGAATCGGAGTTGGGGTTGTGGTTGCCGATGAAGAGGGGGGAGGGGGAGGCGATGTGTTGGCCGTTGCCATGCACATGTCTCGCCTCGGGCAATGGCAGTAGCAGCGCCAGCATCATTAAGCGCAGCAGTTGTGCTGCACCTTGGCTTGTGTGTTGTTGCTGTCGCTGCTGCTGCTGTTGTTGTTGTTGTTCTTTGCAGCCTCCGCTACTGAAGCTGCTCCTGCTTCTTCTTCCGCTACTGAAGCTGCTCCTGCTTTGAGTCTGTGCGCTTTGACAAGTTTGGCAAATCTTTGCTGTAACAAAAATAAAATAAACATTTCACGTTAACTATGGTCACCAATTACTTATACTATATATGATGTACTACAAGTATATACATACAAGTATGTATATGGGTTTCTTGTGCCCGTACTCGTACCGTGTGACATGAATTTTGCTCGCCTTGAATGCATAAATGAATTGATTTTTAAAAACACACAAATAGTATTTGCAGCCAAAAATTGAGTAAATCGAGAATTGCACTTGTGATTGAACTTCTTCACTTGAAATTTGACCAACTTTGCATGGACATACAAGTATGAGCTCGTTTGTTTGAAGTTATTTGCACGTCGCTTGTCCGTCCGCCTTGTCTTGGTGGCTAATTAGCTGTAATGTTTGCGCGTGTGCCCTTGCTCGTGCGCGCTGTGCGGCTTCTTGACTGGAACTAACTGCTGTTGCTACTCTGCTGTAAAACTAAATACCACCGATCAATCGATCCAAACATCGGCAGCAGCAGCGGCAGCAGCAGCAGCAGCGGCAGCAGCAGCAGCAGCAGCTGAGCACGCATTAGGCATTAAAAAGGCACTCAACGAGTGAGAAGCGTGTGCGCGCAATTAAGCGAGAATGTGTGCGTGTGCACTCAGACATCCACTCACTACTGCGCTGCAATTGTTCTCCATTGAACGAATCAAGAAGAGTATTGAGCATCAATTGCTTCAGAAGCGCTCCCTCTCTCTCTCTCTCTCTCTCTCTCTCTCTTTGAGCCGCAAATAAATCGGTGAGTCTGCGAAATTGAGTGCGTGAGCTCGTTTGCTCACTGCAAGTAGGCTGCACTGCATTTGAGTTGAATGCTTGGCACGGCTTTGTCATCTTCGGCACAGACACACGCACGCAGTGGCAGAAATTGCTCGACCGGGAGAGAGGCGAAGGAGAAGAGTGAGGGAGACAAACTGAACAGGCTGACACTTGTCGATCGAAAAAGTCGAAACGGCAAAAAATTCCAATGAATTTCACAAGAATTCATATTACTCATACATACTCGTATTTGGGTTTTTAATGTCCGCTAGTCAGTGAAGCGCGAGTGGAGTGAGAGAAGCACAGCAATGCGAGCGAGAGCAGCTGCGTTTGTTGTTGTTGTTGTTGTTGCTGGTTTTGTCGCTGATAGCGTAGACAGCTAGCAGACAGCACAGCTTTTGTGACCTGCCTGCCTGCCTGCCTGCCTGCCGTTTCGCGCTGTGCCGGGTCTGGCCGTTTCGCCCGCCACACACGCCTTTTAACGATGACGTTTCGCTTTTTCGAAACTTAAAATATCGCAAGCATGTGGTGTGGGCGACAACGTCATCGATGAGCCAGCAAGCCAGCAAGCGAGCCAGCTACCCAGCGAGCCAGCGAACAAGCGAACCAACAGCCAACGAGCCAGTCGGCCAGGGGCAACACGTCGTATGAATAATTCATTGAAATCGCAGCCGATACCGTAGCCGTCCAACGCTTCGCTTCAAAACGGCAAGTTTTGTTTGCAAACAAATGCGCGCGCTCCCATATTAAACACTGAGCGCTCAAAACTCGCTGCTGCTATCGCCGTCGCTGTCGCCGTCGCCGTCGCCCGTTGCTGTTGTTGGCGCTGTTTTTTTATTTACTTTTGTTGGCGTAGGTCAGCGACTTGCTGATAACAGTCATTGGAGAAAGAAAAAGGCAGGGTATTTCGCACGTGATCTTGTCGCGATAGCGACTACTCGTGCTATCAACTGCATTTGTACGCGTGTGTGTGTGTGTGTGTGGGTTTGTCAGTGTGAGTGTGAGTGTGAGTGTGAGCGTGCCAGTAGGGAGGTGTGGCTTTTATTCTTTAGGATGGCAATCTACCACTACCAATCGTAAAACTGAGTCTATCCATATCGAAGCTTCTAGATGTTTGCCTTTGTCATTATTGCAAGCATTTTGGTTTGGCTAGCCTGATTAATCTTTATAATTGTATTACTTATACAAATGTATAGTATTTATGGCTGCAATTGCAGCTGTAAAACTAAATGCCAAATGCAACCATTTGTGTCTAGCCTACGTGCAAAGGGACACACCTCATTTGCGAAATACTTGTAATGCACCTGCCCTCACGAAACATTTAGGGACAATCGTCCGCGAATGAAGTATATATTTTTTTTATCTAAAACCGATCAGTTGTGATACCAGAGTTAGGAAAAGGAATCTTAAAATATAACAAACCAATACTTGTATAATAAGTAGAGTAGTTCTATACATAAGAGTTCCATAAGAGTTATAAGTTATACACCATGTCCAATTGCTTTCTTTTATTTGGGTGGGAAATGTGAAATCCTCCAGTGGGAGGATGCTTTAATTTTGAACATCGATTTCGAAATTGCGTGGAGAGGCTTTCAGTTCTTTTATGTGAGTCCAAAAACTAAAATATATTTCCACAGAGATGACGCCTTAGCCTGTTTTTACACTTCCATATCAAAACACTACTGCTGCACGACATAGAGCTATTTCTGAAAGTGTAGCGTCACATTTCTATGCTTTGATACACATTTGTTGGGGAACAGAACGGAAAGTTATCAATAGAGTCACTTTTGCTGTTTTCGATCAGAATAGTAATGATTTAATTAGGCGATCGATGGCTGAACTTTAGTTCGATCAGACTTGATTGAGCACACGTCCATACATACACGTATATATGTTCATGCATAGAGAAAACAAAAGCTTGCAGATAAATTGATGATATCATCGCATTGTAAAAGCGGGCCTAAAAATGGCGCATTATAGTAGTTCTTATAGCAATGTGTCGTTGGTCAGCGGACTTGCTGTTAGCAAAGAACTTGAGAAATTGCAGACCAAAGGCATGTCTCGTAGGTATAAAAAATGCATGCATATACTTGTATGAGTGTAACTGCATTGATATGCATAAGTTTGTTGTCTAGATACAGTACTTGTACATAAAAAAACGTAAGTTGAAAAACATGGAACTGGGAGACAAAACTAGACAACCAAGTTGAAAACAGAAAAAGAACTTATTACGATATTCCTGGATGCATTGCCAATCCTGTAATTTTGAGGCATAGCCATGTGCAATAGTCCTGCATTGACTCAATGCTGTAAAGCCACAAATGCACTTCTTAATAACACTCATATCTGTACATAAAATGCTGATTTTGAAATTAGCGGCGGGAACACAGAGTCTTGAATGAAAACGACATTTGGGAAACACTTAAAAGAATGCTGGATACACATCCCCACAAGCACGGGATAACATTACTAATTTATGCGTTTCATTTATTAATGGGGAAATAAATCCGACTCAAACAGTATTCATGGCGATTAGAGCAAAGGATTTTCTTTCAATTGGCTTGATGTATTCATACAAGTATGTGTCTTTTTTGTCGAAGGCGGGCAAAACTAGCACAGATAGGGTTAACACTTTACTCTTCTGGCTACTTACTTGATGGGCACATTTTTGAATTGGCTTCCACTAAGTGTTTATTTAGTAATACTGGTTTGGTTAATTGAAGAGAGAAAACAATCACTCGATATATTTGTATTTCGACCACTCTCATGCACTGCAATTGTTGTCTTTTGGCACGCACTTTCACTTTGGTTAATATTTCAATTGCGGATTGATCAACATTGGCGTGTGGCTTTAGCAACTGATTCATAATGCCCGATGCGACGCATAATTTTATATTTATACGAAATTCTCTGGCGCACCAACAGACGACAGGACGCAGGCGCCGACAGCGGCGGCAGCGTCGGCAGCGTCGGCGTCAGCGTCAGTGTTAACGCCAATAGTTCGATATGCCCAGGTAGGGCAACATTTGGCAATAGTCATGTGTACATATATGTGTGTGTATGTGTGTGTGTGTGTGTGTATGGTCGCTGCTATCTCAGCTCAGCAAGGCCGGCGTCGACGTTGTCGCAGTCGTTCCAGCCGCCGCAGCCGTCGCAGCCATCGCAGCCATCGCTGCTGCTGCCGTCGTCATCGACGTCAATGTTTGCTGCCGTGCTTATAATTATTGTTTGATTTGACTTCGTTCGGCCCCCATTTGCGCTCTGCCTCCATTCACGCTCTGCCCCCAATCGGAATCAAATACAACGGTGATAATAAACGGCTTCCCCTCGGTAAGCGCCTACGTCAAACGAACACAGGAACGATCGGCCAAACATTCATTTGTGACTTATACAATATATGTAGATATGTACATGTAATGTATGTATAGTACATCTGCCTAGTAACAAAGGGAAAAAGTCAACCAATCTTGCATTGTATTGCACAAATTTATTAGCAAGTATTTAATATTGCCCATTGCAAACAGTGCATTGTTTGATGCGTCTAAGAACAAAGATTTGCAGACTATCTCTAATTAGATATCAATATACTTATATTTTTATATATGTACAATATATGTACATATGTGGGCAAAAAGAAATGCTTAAAATGCTCTAATGTTTTGCATTTTCCATCCATAAAAAATAAGGACAAGCCCCCTCCACCATGTTAGCTCTCATAAGATATCACATTTATACATATGTAGGTAAATGTGTCTTTCTATTTTCAAAAGGTAAAATGGTAGACTAAGTAGCTTAGAATTATCGCAAAAGATTAGCTCTAGGATAAGTCGACTCGGATTCGTTATTAGACATTTTTGTTATTTCTATAGGCTTTGTCTTTCTTTAGTTCTAACTAGTATAAGTTCTGCAATGTTTCGATTTTTTCCCTCAAATCGACAGCTCTGTTTGTCGATTAAATAAATAAATTAATAAATGGATTCATTTGATGTATTGAAATCAATCAAAAGGGAGTGGGTCTAATGGGCATCATATCTGTTTTTTATCAAATACGTCGGTTGGTG